GGCTGACCACAGGGGCAGCTATGTCTGACGTTGGGGCTGGATGCTGGCATCCTGGGTGACTTGGCACAGAGCCACTGCAGTTTCTGGGCTGGTTTCTCTGGCAGTATCTGTAGAAATAATCCCATCTTCTACCACACCTTCATGGGACAGTTTGGTGCAAGGAGATGCTGGGTCATTTCAACACTAGCTTGGACAATGGCAACTACCAGAGTACTTCAGGGCTAAGCACCCCAATGGCGGTGCCTCACCCCACCCTGAGTTGACCAACACACCTTCCAAAAATGGCCACAATGGCACCTCTCCTCCCGCTCCTCACCAAGGGATAGTTCATTGCACACGAGTTCCTGAGAGCATGAAAATCAGTTGTTCAGGGCCAGCATGTCCCCTGTTTGGCTTTGAATGGTGGTCTCCCTCATCTATGCTGGGCATTGTGAATTAAGTGCAAGACAAAGCCCCAGACCCTGTGGTTCACCAAGGGTGAGCTCACTGGGTCACTTGGGTGATCAGGTTGGGGTAGAGGTGGGTAGGTCAACAGGGGCTTTGTTGTCCCCACTTTGGGTTTTCTGGAAGACTACCTTAGGGTCCCAAGAGGTTGGCCCTGTTCCATGGCTCTAGGCCCCAGCATGCAGCACAGTGTGACTAACCCATCCAACCTTTCAGCTAAAGCAATAGGCTCAGTGAGCCCTGAGCTGGGGGTTTCCAGAACCATTGGGAAAAAAAGGGTTTCATTTCTGGGGCTGTTGAGTTGACAGAGGCAGCTGCTGCCACCAGTAGTGGTAACAGTGGCGGGAGCTATCAGAGGATAAAGCCAACAGAAGAAAATCAGCCTGGAGAAAACAAAACTAAACTAAACTAACAAACCAAGAAATCCCCCACTACCGTCTAAGCACCTGGATCCAGCCGTATCTGAAGTCAGCCCTTAACTTCTCAGCTACATGGTTCACTAAGTTTTCCCTTAGCCAAGATATTTGAACAAACGCTGAGGCCCCAGATGGCAGAAGCATATTCCCCATGCTTTGCCTACATGCTGGCAACAGGCTGGCAAAGTGAAAATATACCTGGGGATTGGTTAGTTTTCTGTAGTTGGAGGCAAGACACTCAAAATAACCCAAACAGAAATTTCCTGCTGCCTCTGCCCTGGAGAGGAAAGATGACAGCCAAGTTTTTGCTTTGAGATTTTACTGAGCCAGGTCCTGCCTGGTCATAGAAATTATTCATTCAACAAACTTTTTTTCTTTTTTTATGTGTATGAGTGTTTTGCCTGTATGTATGTAAGTGTACCATGTGCGTGTATGTGTGCAATGCCCCCACAGAGGCCAGAAGAATGTGTCAGATCCCCTGGAACTGGAGTTACAGATGGTTAGCTGCCATGCAGGTGCTAGGAATCAAACCTGGGTCCTCTGGAAGAACAGCAGGTACTCTTAATCACTGAGCCATCTCTCCAGCCCCTCATTCAACAAATTCTTGTGTACACGTCTATGAGCCTGGAACTTGGATGGGCACCAAGCTCAGAGATGGAAAGTGTGGCTACCAGACCAGATGGTACTGAGCCTGGGTCTATAGAGGAGCCTTTAGGAGGCAGGGGAGTGCTTTGATGGGGGTGTGCTGGGTGAGCTTCCACTGAAGGCAGAGAGATGGATGAGGCAGGCCTCTGGGAAAGCGATGCTGTAGGATGCCAACAGGGACACTTTGAAAGTATAGATTTCTGCAACAACGTGAAGCCTCAGGTGGCAGAGCACATGCAGAGAACTGAAGGCAGCATGTGAAGGTTCCCAGGAGCGTGGCCAGGTGGTGCCCAGGCCCCCTCAGGGATCACCAGTTATCCCAGAGGCTCAGAACACAGAGGTCATATGGAGGCGTCTTGATGACAGACTAGCAAGAGATGCCTCCCCAGCAAGAGACAGTGACAGCAAGGCATCTTGGTCCACACTGGTTAGAAGCAGCAGAAACTGACGACTCCCAGTTCTGGAGGCAGGACATCCAAAAGCAAGGTGCCAGCAGGAGAGGTGACTGGGGACCCCAAATGTTCTCTCTCTCTCCTGCTGGGGATCAAACTCCAGGCAGTCCATGCCATGCCTTTCTGGGCCTCTTTTCAAAGGACATTAATCCTACTCCTAAGGCCCTGCTCTGACATAGCCACCTCCCCAAGGCCTCACCATCTGATACACAGACTTGATTAGGTGCCAACTTAGGAACCTGGGGACATACAACCTTCAGACAATGGTGAAGGTGTGACAGCTGTGGTTCATTAGCCCCACTAGATAGAAGAAAAGAAGTCAGAGAGGTGAAGCAGCTTGCTAAGACCACAGAGCTTGGAAGCCAGAACTCTAGTCCAGACAGACCAGTGGGTTCAGGGCACTCAGAGTGGGGGCGGGGGTTAGTGTGCAAAGGGCCAGGGGCAGAGCAGGGCTGGCTGAATGTGTGGCCAGAGCAGGAGCTCAGAGCGAGATCACAACCCCCATGCAAGGCAAGACTGGCTACACAGTCTGGGGTCCCATGCAGTTGTTTTATTGAGAACTTTAAGACAATGACAGCTAACCAATGAGCCCAGCTTGGTGGAAACTCTTAGAATAATTTCTGAAGCCAGATGGTAAGAAGTGGTGTGTAACCTTTGCCTGGCTCCCAGGGGCTATGTGCCTTTGTACCTTTGGCCCCTGTGCTGGAAGCTTTAGTTGTCAACTTGACACACCTGGGTAGAGGGAGCCTCAGTTGAGGAATTCCCTCCATTGGACTGGCCTGTGGCCATGTCTGTGGGGCATCTTCTTGATTGTTGAGTGATGTGGGAGGGCCGTGGTGCCACCCCTGGGCAGGTGGGCCTGGATTGTGTAGTAAGAAAGCAGATTGAGCACAGGCCAGGGGATTAAATCAGTAAGCAGTGTTCCTCCGTGGTCTGTGCTTCAGCTCCTGCCTTCAGGTTCCTGTCCTGAGTTCCTACCTTGGGCTCCTTCGGTGATAAACTGTGACCTGGGAGATTTAAGTCAAATAAACCCTTTCCTCCCCAAGCTGGTATTAGTCAGAGTGTTTTGTCACAGCAATTGAAGGCAAACTAGAAGGACTGCCTGAAGCCACCATACTGGTGACATCTCTGAAGAGACTGTGAGAAGGCCAGCTGCTGAGAGGTGAGAGAAGCCTTGAAGAGAGAAAAAAACAGACCCACCATCTCCCACTGATACAATGGGAGAACCACACCCCAACCCTGACTCCTGACCTGAGAGACAATAGTTGCTTACTATTTGAAGCCACCAAGCTCTGGAGTAACTTGTGGGAGGCACGATGAAAGGAGGGGCAGAGTGAATGGGCAGCCGTGCTCTGGACAGACAGTGCAGCATGTGCAAAGGCCCTGGGAGGACAGGTAGTGCTGAAGGCAGCAAGATGGGTTTGGCAGACTTCTGGCCCTGGGCAGGGCACATGCGGCCCATGCCAACATGTCCACTGGGGACGTAGCTCTTCTTTTGGTTCTGTTGACGTTTTGTTAAGTGTGACTGCCTTTTGTGCTGAGAACTGTTAGTATAAAGTCTATGTCTATTTGACAAATCCTGTGCAGGGAATAAGTCATTCATTCACTCATTCATTTGTTCTCTCCATCATCAAGGGAATCTCCTATAGAGTATTTCTCAGTGTCACCTGGGGCCACATCAAAACCCCCTGTCAGTTGGAGAGATAGAGGCTTCAAAAACTGGGGGCCTCATGCATTACCAGGGCGGGACTATGGGGCAGGTGTGGCTCCCGAGCCTGCCCTCTTTCCCCACATCTGGCCCAAGCCCTCTTAGTCTGTGTGACTTTGGTGCTCTGAGCCAGGTTCAGTTCTCCCTATTGTATGAAATGGAAGGGAACTGTGAAGGCCTCCTTGTTGGGATCAGGAAGCATGTCAGCCAGCAGTCATGATGACACCTGCCCTTTTATCTGGGCTCCTGTGTCAGACACAGAACACATATGGTGCTCTATGTTCCTGCACTTCCTCCTCAGTGACCCCTGCTGCAGTCAAGGCCCAGGAGGCAGAGCTGACCAGCTGAGCTCCAAGCACAGCACTCTGTGCTGTCCTCACCTGCAGTCACTTTTCCTTCAGGAACCCACAGCTGGTCCAGTGACTCAGGCCCTCTTGAGCCTGTGTTTACTGCCCCCCGCCCCGGCCCCGTCATCCGTTCACTCAGGATCTCAGAAAACAAGGGGAAGAAGCAATGCCTGAAGCTGATTGCCTACACCCCAAGGGGCAGATCCCAAAGGCAGCCCACCCAGAGGAGGGAGAAACACAAGCAGAAAACACGGTGACCCTGTGCCTCCCTGGCACGTCCCTGCACAGTACAGCCAAACTTAATTGTTTTCATGCCCTGTAAAGTGGATGGTGGTATTTTTCTTGCCCAAGAGGAAGCCAAAGGCACAGAGAGGTTAAGTGACGGTGAAAATCACACAGCTAGTAAACAGTAAAGTTGGATTTTGAAGAATAAACTGAAAATTCCTCAGTCCCTGAGCCAAGGACTTCAATGCATTCCTCAAGCAAGAGCTGGTGGTTGCCCTGGTTTACAGCAAGGGAGTGGGATTTAGGGACCAGCCACCTCTGACTCTAGGGGTACTGGCCAGGATATTCCCCAATCCAGAGCTTAACCACCTCAGAACAGGCAGTCCTGGAATACCCACCCAGGAGATAACTTCTGATTCCCAGCACCACAACGAAGTCAGGGATACCTCAGGGCAGAATGCCTCCACCCACCCCCCACCCCCAGATCCCAAGGGAAAAGGGAGGCCAGGAGCCAGCTTTGCTGGGCACCCAGGACTCCAGGCCTTGGAAGGCTTTCGGTCTCCAGGCTGCCTCCCCAACCTCGCCCTGCTCCCTCCCTCCGCTGGCTGCTCTGGGGGTCACTGCCTGTGTTCCGAGCCTAACTTGGAACCAGAGGGGGTAGGTGGAGGGGCTGAAACTTGAGAACCCAGCCTTGCGGGGCAGGGGTGGGGGTGGAGAGAAGAGAGAGCTGCTGTGAGGAGAGGAAGAGAGCTCAGATGATTTCAGCTTGGAAGGGAGCTTAGCCTGGCCTGTGGTCCTGCGTGTGCCTAGGCGGCCTCGAGCCTGTCCAGCCAGGACGGACCCCACTGGACAATCCACACCTCTGAGGCTGGTAGAGAGCAAGGCTGAGCAAGGAGAAGAGAGAAGACTGAGGTGCCTGGGGGTGGGAGCAGGAGGCGAGGCCTCACAGGGGAGGTCAGGGGCTGTGGCCATCTGAGTATAAACAGTCCAGAGGAGCTGGCCCTTAGGGCTTGCAGCTGCGGAGCTCCTCGGGGTCTGTCCTCTCAGGCCCCAGCAGCACAGCACATCTGGGCACAGGCTGGCCACAGGTGAGCACCTGCCCTGGTAGCTCTGACCAGACTCCCTTAGCACCTGGTCACTGATGCTCTCTCAGCCAGCCATGCTGCTAGGTGGCCTCCTCCTCCTGCTGGCCTCTGTGACTGCAGTCCAGTGGAGGGGCCTAGCAGCCAGTGGGCGCCGCCAAACCCACCGGGTCCAGCATGGCCAATGTAGCTACACCTTTGTGCTGCCTGAGCCTGAGCCCTGCCCACCAGAGCCTGAGGCCTTCGGGGGTTCCAACAGCCTTCAGAGAGACTTGCCTGCCTCAGGGCTGCAACTGGGAGACTGGAGGGCCCAGCGTGTGCGCCAGCTGGAGAAGATGCTGGAGAATAACACTCAGTGGCTTCAGAAGGTACAGCTGGGCCTGTGCTAGGGACTGGGGAAGCAGGTGGAGAACGAATTGCCCATCCCAGGGCAGAGGGGGCTGGGCTTTGTGTTGTATAGAGCCTCCGAGATGAGGGGTCCAGAGAGGGCCAGGGATGGCTTCAAGGCCACACAGCAAGGCTGAGCAGCACTGACTAGAAAACCAGGCTCCTCGCAGACGTTAAATTCATTCATCCAAAAGGAATTCGCTGAGCACTGACCATGAGTCAGGACTGTTCTGGGTGCTGGGCACACCACTGGGACAAAATGATACATTCCCATCTCACAGACAGATGGGGAGGGAAAGGACTGTGAAAGAGGTGACTGCTGTGTGGGGCAGTGACTGTAGGGCAGTGACTGCTGTGTGGGGTATAGGAGTATGGCACAGTCAGGCAGCTAGGCCAGCTCTCCCAGGTTGGATTATTACCTGCTGCGCAACCCAGCAGGAGCAAAGGTGCATGGGGAGGGGAGGAAGGGGCAGGGGGCAGTGTGGAAGGCATGGGCAGACCACAAGGTCTTGTGGGACTTGAGTGATTGAGGAGCCATTGCAGGGCTGTAAGCAGATAGAGACACAAGGATATGGTTTGAGTAGTGGACACTATGGGGCAGGATAGCCTCTGGGAGCCCAAATGTAAAGTCACTTCAGTCACTGCAGGCTCTACACATGAGGGACTAGAGGCCTGCAGGATGGCTGTCAGATTCTGGTTTATTCTGAGACTCATGACCACTTTGGAAGTGGAATGGCAAAATGGAGCTAAGGATGTAAATACACTTTGGGTCTAATACCACAGAAGGGGCTCCTTCGTTTTCCAACTCTTTCAGCAAACATTGAGTGCCTACTGTGTGCCCAGGTGACCACTGTGTGCAAAATTGATCACTGTGTGTCGAGATGAGCAAGGCAGGCTGGGCTCTGAGCATGGGCAGAAGGCTGTCCTGTGGGGCCAGGATGTGGCTGGCCAGGGCCCCTGAGTAAGAGTCACCCACTGAGGAAAGTAAAGGGGACCCAGGGTCAAATGGGGAGAGGGCTGAACCAATCCATGGAGATACAGAATGCAGTAGTCAGTGAGGAGTTGGGCAGGGTAGTAAGGTCAGTTCAAATCTTCTCTCTCACCCCTGTGCCTTCCGAACTGCTTTTAAAAATGTTATTACATTTATAACTTATTTGTGTGTATATGTGTGTAGGTGCACAAGTGCCACACATATGAAAGTCAGAGAACATCTTGTGGGAGTCAGTTCTCTCCTTCCACCATGTGAGTCCCAGGGATCAAACTCAGGTCATCAGGCCTGGCAGTGAGAGCCTTTACCTGCTGAGTCATCTTGCTAGCCCCTGAACTTCTTAACTCATACATCCAGTCAGTAGGAAAGGTTTGCTCTTCCAATGTGAGTGTGCATGCTTTAACACAGCATACCTGTGTTAAAGTGCACAGACTGTATTATGAGTACTATGGAGAATAACACTCCATGGCTTCAGAAGGTACAGCTGGGCGTGTGCTAGAGACTGGGAGGTAGAGCACCGCCCCTGCTCACCCCACCGACACAATTGGCCTCCTGCCCCTGCTGCCCCCAACTGCCACCCTAAGGCCCCTGACCCTCAACATGCCCAACCCACCATCCCATGCCTATGTCCCCATGGGGGCTGCTCTTGACATCCCACACTGACTGATCCAGACTGCATGGAGCCTGGTTCTGTGGGCATCTCCTAAGCAGCTGTCCCCAAATCCCATAAGATTTTGGAGCAAACTTCTCCTCCAACTTCCCCATCCCCCTCCCCACCTACCTCTCACCAGACACCCACACTCCCCCCTCTCTGGAAAGGAGAAGAGGCTGTGGGGATTGCCCACCTGTCCCCATGCCCACCTGTCCCCAGGTCTTCCCCAGGCTAAGGAAATGGTCCTCTGTGCTCCTCCTTTTTGCCCCCCAAACTCCTTGTCTTACCCACCCATGTCCCCAGGGACTCTGCTCTCCTTGCTGGTCTGTCCCCTCAGCGTTTAGTTATCCCCAAACACCTCTCATGCTCAGGAAGATGTAAGTATGAGGAGGGCAGTCACAGCCCATGTTCTGCCACCTCTTCCTCAGGTTACCTCACAGGCCCCAAATCTCATGGTCACAGCTCAGCTCATCTTCCCAGACCTCTGGACAATGATAGTGACCAGCACTCTCTGTCTTGGACTGTCCAGCAGTGCTCTTCTATGCTGTCCACCCCCACAGCCCTGCCTGAACCAGCCACAGGCTTCTCTGGCTCAGGCCTTACCACCTCTCCTTTGGACACTGCTTTACTTCCTGCTAGCTCCTTACCCCAAGTCCCACCTTCTTGACCCTTAAATCCCTCAGTCAGTCCTAGTGCCTAGGAAACATCAGCTGAGCCAGTAAAAGGCTTTGACTTGATGGCCTTCGGGACAGAAGGTCTCTTAGCCCAACTCTTCAGTCTGTGGTGCACAGTTCTGTCTGGGTGTCACCCACTCAGCCTGCCAGTCCTGGGAGTCCCATGGAGCTGAGCAGTGATGACAGAGTCCTCCAACCTAAGCCCACATTGGTGAGGTCAGTAGGCACTGACAGGTTATGTGGCTAAGGATGAACAAGTCTCAGTTTCCCCATCCGAGGGGAAGTCAGGGGGTGGCTGGGAATGCTACACAACTTTCAGGCACTGCTCTGCCTGATGCACCAGTCTGGGCAGCTCAATACACAGAGGCCTAGAGCACAGAGGCAATGGACTGACTGGATTTTAGGCGCTTCAGCACCATCCTACCTGAGGCCCTACAACTCTGAACTCAGTCACAGCCCCTCTTAGTCACATTGACTGAAGGGCAATGGGGTATTCTTTGGGGCAAGGAATGTCACCCATCCAACCCCAGCCAGGCTCTGCTGGGCAGCCTTGCTATCTTCTAGGAAATTGGCCTCTTGGATTAAGCGCAACCTTTCATGTCCCCCAGCTTTCATGCCAAGTTACCCAGGGCCTATGGAGGCTGCCACAGATGAGACACACTTAGAAGTCACTCTGCTTGGAGCTGCCACCTCCTTAGATGGCAGCAGAGCCCAGTGGTGAGAACTCTGAATGGAGTAGGTAACTCCCCTTCATTGAGCCTCACCAAGATGGTGATGCTGCCTTCCTCATGAAGACTTAACCAGACAACACCCAGGACATCCACTCAGTGGCTTCTGAGCAAGCGTTGGTTGTTTCTACTAGGGTCTTCTCTGAAAACAGACACAGGTCCTGTAGGTTGAGACATGTAATACCTTGCTCCTTTGGACAGTCAGAGAGAGAGAGAAGAGAGAAGAGAGAGAGAGAGAGAGAGAGAGAGAGAGAGAGAGAGAAACTGTGCATAGTCATACCCCCTCGAGCATCCTTATCCCAGACCAGGATGCCTTCTGTGTGGCCACAGCTGGGACTTCCTCCAGCTCCTCTCCCTAGCAGCTTCCTCCGAGCCACTACAACTCAAAGCCTGCTTTCTAGCTTTTGGCCACAATGGCACAGAAACGGGGAAAAAAGATGAGTTTGAAAATATTCAGATAGTGCTTCACCACCAAGCTCTCTTCTAGGTTCTGATCATCTTGGGGGCCACAGGGAAGCCCCTCGCTGTCATTAGCTCCAGCAGCCAGCACCTGCTTGCATGCCTGACTCCCCACCTGTTCCCCCAGTGTGCAAGTGAGGAAACTGAGACCAGAGAGGGACCCCGGATTCTCCAGCTGCAAATGCCTTCTCTTGACTGTGGAATTAGGGGTTGGGGAAACTGGAGAGAGTGGGGTGCCTCTGAGTCACCACATCCCCCCTCAGTCACCATACCCAGAATGCTAGCCCCAGCCTCACTTGCTCCTTCTCCTGCTCTTCCTCCCTGAACCCCTTTGCCGTTTCTCACCCTGCTCTCCCTGCTCCTTTCTCCCCCTCCTCCTGGAAAGCCTCTGCCCAGTGACTTACGACTGTAATGGCTATCATGGGCTATATAGAGTTCAGCTCTGCTCCAAGCACCCAGCTGGGAAAACACTGTGGCCAGGAGCACTGAGGGAGTAGACAGGGTCAGTGGAGCAAAGGGGTTTCTGCCAAGCTGTGTTTCCCAGTGGTTAGCTACAAGGCCTCCCAGGGACCTCGGGACCTTCACTTAGGAACAATGATGATAGAGCTTGGACATGAGGCCGACAGCAGCTTATGGGGGAATGGCCTGGCCACAGTGGGTACCATAGACTTCCCTCTCTTTACTGTGAGTCCCTGATTAGTACAGTGTCCAATGGCCCCAGGTCTCCTAGCCAGGCAGTGCTGTCCTTTGACTCTACCTGTCCTCACAGAGCAACTCTGATTTATGAATGAGGAAAACCCAGGGCAGACACCAGCCCTGAGCCCTGGCCTAGGTCCATTACCTGAGGGCAGCACATCTTACTGACTCTCTGGCCTCACAGGAACAGGGTGAATACCACCCTAGAACCCAGGTCCTGTGCTCCTTTGCCTGCTCCCAGCAAGTGCTACTTGGGGCTCTGAGGTCCCTCCCCATATCTCTGTCTCTGTCTCTCTGCCTGTTTCCCTATCTCTCTCTCTCTCTCTCTCTCTCTCTCTCTCTCTCCTTAACTTTCTCCCTGTCTCCCTGTCTCTCTTTGTCTTTCTGCCCCCCTTCTGTGTCCCCAACAACATACATACTCAGATGCTCCCACAAAAGCCCTTAGCACAACTTTCCTGTCTCTACTTCCCTGGTTGTCCACTCCAGAGCCCCAGGACCCAGAGCCCCAAGGCCAGTGTCCAACCACAGCCAGGCTACTCAGCTGGGGTCTCTCTGTCCCTTCCATCCACAGCCACGGGGCGGGGGGGTCAGCCTCCATAGATAGTCAGGCCCCTGGCAGCAAACTTCAGAATAGCTGGACCCCTCAGCCCAGCGGCCTGGCTTGCGGGCCATGGGTCAGAAGGTCATCCAGTAGGAACCTAGTGTGGGGTCCTGGTCCTGCCCAAGACCCTCCCTGGCTGACCAGGGCTCCCAGATGCCCTGGCCTCCCCAGGTTACCCATAAA